AAGCTTTTAAAATCAAACTTGATTTACTTTTAACAAGATCTTAACCTTTTTTCAGCACAAGTAATTCCGAATTATGAGTGAGTTTTTAGACTTCATATTGCGCTTGAAATCAATCGATAATATTTCTTCAGGAGACATTCACTGCAATCAAAATTTTAATTTTCGTGCATTCGATCGACTTCAAGCATTCGAAATACTATGCTTTAAGTAAATCTTTCAATATTTGATTTGCAAATTTTCGTTGCAGTTATTTGAAGATGTTAACAAATGCTCTCGAAATCCTTTACTGATTCATAGTCAACCTCGTTCAACTTATCATCAAACTTTTAAGGTTTCACAAGAAATCTCTTTATAAACTTTTCATTGCAAGTACTTTTGCTAGTGAAGTCATCTCGATCCAACTCTCAGATTGAATCAATCTTTTTGGTAAATCCAAACCTTGAGAAGTGTGTTGATTGTACAAAAAGAGCTTCAGTTCAGAACACTATCGAATAACGAGAAGTTCTCTGTTTTTCAGATGCAACATAACGTTATGATGTGCAACTTGTATTAAACCAATTTGCTGCCAACTTCCAAACAGACCAAAGAAACTGGTCAATTAATCAATTGGTGATCATTTTATTGCCCCCAAGTTTATATAAAAATGACCACCGTTAAACTATCTGTGCAAAAGCAGTTCATATTCCAACTCAATTTCACCTTTCCATGTTTCTCTCCTTTTCACCTCAATCATATTTTTATGGTGCAAACTATTTTTACAATCATCATCTTTCTCTAACATTAACCTTTAACCAACACAAAGTCAACTCCAATTTCAAGTTGTAATAATAAAAAGATTATCAAATCTCCTTTCAGTCTCTAAATTTTGTACATTTTACTTTGTTTCTCACAGAACAACATTTTGCATCTTTTATCCTTTTGCAATTTCATTTACACAGTTTACTAATAAAAACCTAACCATTGTAAGTGTATGTGTGACTCCTAAACCCTCAAGGGTAACATCAGCTAGTCAAGATGGACCATTTAGTTAAATCCCAAGAAAGGTTGAACAGAACACAAAAAAGCGTAACAAAAATATTACAACAAAGAGGCTCCTTTTTTGCTTCTTACCTCATTTCATGTAATTTGTTTAATTTCATTTTTTCTTGTTTGCATTTAATTTAACAATCATAACAAGTCTTCAGGGTAACCATCATCATCATTACCATCACCAACTATCAAGAATGTTTCAAGTAATTAAATAATATTCATATTTCAACTTATCAAGTTTAATATCAAGTTTCATTAACTCAATTCATTCATCAATTCGCATCCAACACCAAATGATTAATTAACCATTTTTTCACTCAATTTCAAGATTCTCCCAATAATTGATTGACATTGCATAAATTGCCGTTCAATTAACTTCACCATTCCGTTACCTTTAATTAAAGTCAATCCAATTAGAAAATGTTGCCAAAATTTCGGTCAAAGTTTGCTTTTCAAGAAAAGAAGAAAATCCTTTTCTATTCTTTTTCTTGGTTCCTTCAACTTTTCAGGGTCAGTTTTTTAAATTCAAAATTAAAGGGTTAAATATCATTTACTCTCAGATGCTAATAGTGTTAATGATAATTGAACTTTTCCTTTGTTCATTTTCTGTTGAATCGCGAGTTTAGATGAAAAATTTGCAACACTAATTGTTGTTATTAATGTTAATAACAATGATAATGATAATTGAAGTGCAAATGGCAAGTAAACCTTAAGGCTATTTGGATACCTTTGAAGACACCAATTATTGAAAAGAGAATGAAATTCAAATGGAAAACTTCTGTTTCCTTCAAATGTTTACTTTTTCCTGCAAAACTATTCATTTCTTCCTTTTCATGATCACAAGTTTTTTTTATTAATCATGATTTGTTTCCTTGAGCACATTGATATAATTTAAACGCTAATTATCATAACATTTATTCAAAGTTGAACAATCTCTTTGCACCATTGAATTGCATTAAAAAGACAAATGGAAAAATCTTGAGAAGAAAATTTTATCCAAAATTTTCAAACTTATATTCATGTAAAAAAAGCTATCGACTATGTTTAAACAATGTTAAATAGATTCGGTGAAATGTTATCCAAATTGCAGCCAATATTGACCTTATTAATGATAAACAAACAGAAATGTTCATTTTAATGACAAGCGTAAACAGAAAATTTGTTTCAATCCAAACATTCTTACAGGGAATGGAAATGAATAAATAGCCAAAATTTGATAATTTTTTCCTCTTCTCTCAATGTATCAATGTAACTATTTATTCATTGGAATCGTTACATTTCCATGTTAACAATTTATCCAAATTTAACCAAATGGTGAAACCGATGAAAGCTTTATGTTAATTAACCCTTGAGATGTAAGTTGGTTAAAATATTGTTAGGCAAGCAAACAGTAATAATGGTTAATATGATCAATTGGATTAACACAGATATTAATGCAAGGGTGAAACGCAAGAGGCAAAGGTTGATGCTAATGGTAAACCTAACCTCTGCCTCTTCTCCCCTTCATTATGGTCCAATGATTAGGTAAACGGCTTAACCAAAGTAAAACTGTTTCCATTCAAAAGCTGAATATCAGTAATTGAACCTCTTTCCATTTTGTCTTTACTTTTATCTTCTCTTTCTTTTTTCCCTCTCTAAAGGTTCCTCTTCTCTATTCACTTCTCGCACTTTTTCATCATCATCATCAATCAAAATTATTTGCAATATTGGACAATCAACTATTAATAAAATGATTAATTGCATTTTCATTCTGTTGTACTTTTTTCCTTCTCATCTCTTTTCACTCCCAGTTTTTTAACATTGAAATTTGAGAGTTTAAATGTTGCAAAAAAGCGGCAAGAAATCACATGCAATTTACATTGAAATCCCCAATTTTGCCACCAACAAGATGAATTTTTAATGCAAAAAGTTATCAAATTTGATTAAGGCCAAAACTCTGCAAAAACTTGGATTCTTCATCCATTGCTTTTTGCATTCAAATAACCAAGATTAAGACTGTCAGGCTAACATTGCCTTCAATGATTCAGTGAATTTTGAAAATGCTTTATGGTTCACCATTAGCAAGATGTTAGCGAAGTTCAAGTCAGAAGAATTTTCATTTGGTCGAATTGAAATGTTACAAAATGTTTAGAACTTTGATTCTCTCAATCGATTCGAATGTTTTTCAGAATCTTGCTTGCGAGCAAAAATAAAGACGAAACCGAAAGTCGGAAAAGTGTTCAAAATCTTTCATCATTCAACTTCGAGATTTTGAATAACAGTTTTGCTACTCGAACAGCTTTCATGCGCTAATTTTCACGTTCAGCGAATGACTAACATTTTTGCTAATTTTGTTTCTAACGGAAAGAAGACTTTGAATGAAGTTTAATGTGTTGAATCGCCTGTTTCCATGGCTGTTGCCAATGCTGATGAATTGGACAAGTAGAGACATGAGACCATTTGAAAGATTCATTATGAATATCATCAATTTGTTAACCAACATGATAATAATGATAAAATGAGCACCAATAAATGGTTAATGCAAAAATGTTCAACATGCGAAACGAGAGCAAAAAGTGAAATCAACATTTCCACTTATACTTTTATACCTTTACAAATAGCCATTAATGTTTCCATCAACACCATCTGATGATGACAATAATGATACCTGCAAATGTCATCAATATCATCATCATCAGTATCATCTTATTAAATCATTTCAATCATTACCTTTTCTCCCTTCAATCCTAATGACTTTTCTTGGTTACTCTAAAAAAAGGTCCAAATTATCAATACAAACAAAGTTATGGAAACAAATTCAATTTCAATTTTGACAACTTTATTTTCCTTTGACAGTTTAATCAATAATCAATCAATAAAAGGTGTAAAAATATCACAATCAAGTCAACAAGGTTTGTTTCTGTCATTACTCATAATGATGCTTATTCAAATGAAGCCAATCATTTGTAAATTGTTATTGATTTCAATCAACATTTTCTCAAAATTTCTCCTTTTCTCTCAATCAATATTTAAAGCAAACTGAATCATTGACTAATGATGTTTCTATGTGCTTGGAATTAATTGGAATCGGTTTGAGGAGAAAAAATGAATTTCTCAACTTTTCTCAATTCTTCATTTTCCATGCTAATTTACCAAAGATGTTGTTTACCTGATTTACTCGATTGTTCAACATGATAATGTCAACTGTTAATTGTTCAGATTTTCAATGAAAAGGTGATTCCTTTAATGGTCCATGAAATAATCAATTATTTTAAGTTCATTGGAAAGGAAAGAAATTTTTTGGTGAAAATTTTCATGATTAATTGCTTGTCATAACACTTCTGATTAATCAGTAAACATTATTCTCACGGAACAAATTTGACAGAAATTTAGAAGAAAAAAATGTTCCAACGAGTTGAATAGTCGATTCTGATGGTTGATCACACCTTCAGTAATTCAGTTTAAGAACAATGTTATTAGATCAAGATTACCGAAGAGATTGAGAAAATTTGGAGAAAAGAGAGAAAAAATTAACATTTTATTTTCTTATTGCTTTATCGTGATTTGTTCATTTTCATGAAACTTTTCTCTGGAATAGGATGATGATTATGATGTTATGATATTTATATTTCATTTTTATTATCCATTTCTTTGATGGAACAAGAAAAAGACGGAAAAAAAGTGTTTCTAGTTTTACTATTTACTGTTGATAATGAATAACTAATCATGAAAACTTGTTTGATCACTTTAAACTAATAATGTTGATACTTTATATTCTTGATGAGAAAAGTTCAGGATAACAAATTATGATTTATTCAATAAACCCAACAGCATAAGAATTGATAGAAAAATAATTTTAATTGGAAAATGATTAACAACAAAAATTGACTCTTTTCAAGTTTTCAAATTTTCTCAAGTTTCAAGAGATTCAAGAACTCGATTTGACCGAAATTCATGAGATTACTAATCAATCTTATTTGTTGTTCATTTAGAAACTCTGGAATTGGAAATTTCTTCCTTTTCTATTGTTGGAAAATTCTGCTCAACTCACCACCATGATCATGTTCAGATGAAAATTTCAACTCAGGGTTGGACCAAAAGTGCGCTGTTAATATCAATTAGAGAAGAAAATTTCTGCGCATCAAATCTATTTTTCTCTGAACTTTTTCCGGTTATTCATTATCATTACCAGAATTGTCACCAATATTCAACTTTGTGTGTTTGTGATTCAAAGGAAAGTTTCCAATGGAATAGAAAATAAAAGTTTTGCAAAAATTGAAAAAAGGCAAATGGTGATTCAAAAAATTCTGACCAAGAATTGGAAGAGAAAATAAATTCGAAAAAAACGGATAAAAAAAAGAAGAGAAAAAATCTTCTGTTTACTGGAAAAGTCACTTATCCAGAGACATTGGCTCAACCTTTACACCGCCCATTACCACCGTTGCCACCACTGCACCACCCCTTTGCCTCCGCCTCCGCCTCCTCCATCTTTAACCTTATCAACAACAACATCATCAACTGCGCATTTATTCAGTTCATCTGTATCACCATCATTCACATCGTCAACCTTTTCCTCTTCATCTTCTCTCTCTCATCCTCTATCTTCACCTTTTCTTCATCTTCATCTTTATCCACAACCCAACATTCAACTGTTCAACACTAGCCAGTTACACAGTCTAACTTGACTCTCACCAGTAACGCTACTACCCTCATCATCCCCCATCATCATCATTACCATTCACATCTCATCATCATTCTCATCTTGTTCGTCATCTTCATCATCCAACTCATTACACACTGCCTCCACCTACTTCAACAACATGAACCACTAAAGCAACAACAGCAACAGTAGCAACAACTCATCATCATTCTCATCACCCGTCATCATCCCTCTCATCTACCGTTATGTCCATCTTACTACTGTCAAGGTCCATCTTCGGGAACAACGCACGTTCCACCAGCAACTAGTTTAACCAGTGATCCTCATCAAACCACCATGGATTCACATCACTTTAATCCTTATCATCATCCTTATTACAGGTTAGTCGCCTTTTCACTTTACCTTCAACAATTCACATTGTCATTTACCTTTTGCAAAACCAATGACCAATCGGCATGAACAATTTTCACCGAAAAAAAAGAGCCAGTTATCGATGAAAAAAAACTTAGAACAAAATATTCACCAAACTCGATAATCTCGAGAAAAATCGACATTCTTTCAACATTTCATTATAGGGTCAATGTTTAATCAATTGATTAACATCATTATCCAATTAACATATTTTCTGGATTCTCTTTCAATCAATTTAGTCTCATGATAAACTTGAAAGTTGAACTTCAATTTTTGCTTCTTTTCACTCATCAACATAAAGTGTCTCAAACTGTTTCCCATGTGTCAAGATCTGTTCAATTGTTTCAGTTATCATGAACAATGCTTCTTGTGGATTAACTCATTTGGATTATTATTTTTGCACCTTTTGTGAGTTTCCAAGTGATTCAGATTCGTGTTTACCTTTTCTTGTTCAAAAGTTCAACAAAATTGCCTTTTCCTTCAAACTTGTTTAAACACTGAAAAAAATAGTTATCGACTTTATTATAGACTTTACCTTTTTTTTGGTTCATTATTATGGTTATTGTTATTAGTTGTACAAATTGTCTTTGGTGAATAAACACTGTTAATTGTAAAGAGTCTGAGGAAACATCACCAAACCTCATTTAGCTGAATCAGTGAACCAATGAAACAGGTAAAAGTAACAAGATGAAGTATCAACAAGAGAAATGAAGAAAAGAGATGAAATTTCATCTTGAATTGAACCAATATAGACATGTTGATTCAATGATTGCAATTGTTTTCGTTGGTTTCAAAAGTTGAAATTGATTGGAAAATGTAAATTCATTTTTTTCTTGTTCAATCAATTTTCTTGAGCTTTTTTCTTGTCGCTACTTTTGATTCACTGAAACGTGCCAATGTGGCAATTTATCAGGAAAACCTTTTCGCCTCTTTTTTGTCTCTTCTTAGAATCAATTTTTCTACCTGTAATCTGCATTGAAATGAGAAGCAAATGAGTAAACTCAGTGTACCATGCAACAAGAAGAGAAAACTCTTGCGACTTCTGTGGTGTTATTAATGTTAATCCTGTTGAACGACAATTAAAAGTGCCAATAGATCGTGTAGATGAAACTCAGTGATACCTGATGCTTTGATGGTTAAAGAAGTTTAAGTAAAGTTCAATTTTCTTCTTCTAAGACAAAGTCAAAGTAAACAGTCAAAGTTGCTAAAAAACTGAGTTATTTACTTTGAACAGTGAACCATTTAATAGATCAATAGATTGACAATTCATTAAACAGAGGTTGAAAAAGATGAGTTGACAGACCATGATTACAGGATCATGAACATGAAGAAAGAGAAGAAATGATTTCATTTTTGTTCAAGCTTGTTAGTTGAAAAATTGTTTCTCAAAGTCAAAGAAAACGAATAAAAAATTCAGTAAAATGATACAATGTTTTGCCGTTCATGTTATTTCATTTTTTAGTCATTTCCATGTTTGTCTTCAGTCTAAAGATGTTGCTAATGCTTGAGGTTAGACAATTGTAACTTTGAAACTTTCTTACGTTGAATGGCTACAAAAGTTTCAAAGTGGCCAATCGAAGCTGTAAGCAGTTTGAGATTCACAGTAAGGTCAGAAAATTGTCAGGTTAATCGAAAAGAAAGTATCAGTGAAAATGATCGAACATTGAGTTGTCCACAAAACGAAATTTCAATGAGAGATTTACATAAATTGATCAAAGAATTAGGTGTTTACCTGATGTTTAATGCTCTTCATGTGCATTGTTTTTGAAATTACTTTTTATTTGCTGTTTCGACACTTATTTCATTATTTTTGTGTCATTGTTACAACTGATCAGGTTGAACCCAATACCAGGTTTACCAGTCAGTTAAACTTTGAAATGCTTTTCAAAGTGGAGTGAATATTTATTAGAATCAAACTTGTCCTTTGTGACCAATACAGTGATCACGGTCAAATGACATTCATTTCTTACAGACAAAAACCAAACAATTTTCACCTTTTGAATTGAAGTGAAAAGGATGAAATCAACTTTAGAACCAAAGAAACCAAAAAACAAATAGCATCTTTAAACATTTCCTTCAACATTGAAAATGCAAAACTACGTTCATTCACTTCAAGTCAACTAAATAACCAAACCTTGACTCAATCTGATTCCTCTAATTCAAACTATTTCAAATGAAAAGTTATCAAAACCAATCGAGTTCAAAGTCACAGATTCGACAAAGAGTTGGCTAGTTAACATGAGATTTTCAGTTTTCCGCTGCAAAACCTCAACATTACCGACAACAATTGCGTTCTCTTGTCAATATTTTTGTCCTAATAATCCAAAGAGTCAAGTGTTTTAGTTAACCAAATACGGTTATAACTGACTAAAAGGTTACAAATGTTTGAGAAACACTTCGAATTCAAAAATCTTGACAATTTTGCCAAAATTTCACAGAAGTCATGATCTGAGCAGTTTATGAACATTGATAATATTCTCAGGTTCAGATTTGGCCAGAAATTATTTACAATCTTGACTTTGATTCTATTAATGGTTTCTGTGACATTTTCATTTGATTAATTTGAATATTTTGTTTTTGCTTCATCTTTTTTTGTCAAGTTTCTTGTATTTAAATAAAGACTTTGACTAAGCTCATAACAAGCAATAACAAACAAATTACTTTTCATACCTTTTACCTGAGTTACTTTAATCCATTTAATCAAATAAATTACAATCTGTCCTGTTACTGGTCAGTAAACGCACACACACAGGAGTAGTAACTTGAAACACGCGACAAACAGTTAATTTATTCAATTGAATAACTTGATTTAAATATGAATTCATTAATCTTCAATTTATTCGCAAAGTCAGCTTTTCTCTGTCATTCATCAAGATTAACCCGAAAAAAAGTATGAAAACAAAAACAAAAACATGATTCAGTCAATAAAGGTAAATCCAACAGTAAGGTTCAAACGACGACAATTTACGATAGTTCATTATTCATCAGTTGAGCCTGTTTAAATGCCTTTTGTTGTTCAACCTGATTCAAGTTTGTGTTTTTGCTCACCTTTTCTGAGGTTGATTCAGTGTGAAAATGAACAAGGTGAAAAGGGTGAAAAGAGGGTTTGAAAAATCATGAAATTAATTCCTGTTAACAGCAAAAGTCAACATGATGCTAATGATGAGGCCTTTTCAATCATCTTCAAGGCAACTAATTGTTTCCATGTAACATTCCGAGTTTGGTCAATCTGGTTGCTTCTCTTCTTTTTTTTCAATTTTCATCTTTTCTCTTGTTGACTGTTGATTGTTGAGGTTTTGTTTTGTTTTTTGTTGTTGTTACTGGCTTCTTCTGTTTTTCACTGTGAGGTTAATTGCCACTAGCATTGAGCTTACACAAGGCGTAAATTAGCATCAACCCGGTGGACAGAAAAGGAAACATTCAAACGGTTCAGAAAACATTGAGAAATTGAAAGAGGCGAAAGATGGTAAAAGAGGAAAAGTTTATTCGCTCAAAGATTTTGGTCTTTTTTGTCTTTCACGTTAATAGTAATAATGATGATGATGATAATGGGAAGAGAAGTAGTTTGGTTGTTGAATTATATCAAAGGTTCACCATTAGATTGTCAATGGCAAGGTATTACCTAAGGCCATTAACCGTGTGAAGCAAATTGATTAAATTAGTTCTTGAAAGGTTTTACAGTGAAAATTCATCAAACATTAACAGCCAATTGATAATCATAGTTACATTTGTCGGTCAAAAATTTGCCTTCATCTGCAAGGAAAGATTAGCCAATGGTCAACTTCCCTTCATTTTCATCTTCAGTCCTTTTCACGTTTCATTTCATTAGTTGACTTCATTAATACCAGCTGGCGTTCATTTCAGCATTTCATTCAAAAATTTTCCCGTTTGATCGGTTAACCCAGAAAACGAGGCTTTTTATATCTTTTCATAGCGGCTTAAAGATTTCAAAATTTTGAGAAAACAATTAAATTCGATAGAATTTTTCGGAAATTTTCCAAAGGTTAGCAGACTTGTAAAGTCAGAGTCTCACAATTTTAAACCTTCATAAAGTGTGCTTTGATTAAGAATAATTTTTCTAATGAAAAAATAGCTTTTTATTGAATCGAATAGAACGAAATTAGATTTTATAGAATTTAAGATTTCTATCATTACACTTCTCGAGCTCTCTCGTTTGAGCCTCAGTCCGTTTGCGAACGATCTTCAAACTCTTCTTTCAAAAGATTCGATTACATCTTATATCGATTTAGGATAAGAATACGACTTTTCCTTTTCCATCTCCTATTAGCTCTTCATTGAAATCTTTTTTGAGATTGAACTGTTAACCAAAATCGAAAGTCGATTCAAGGCATCTTTCATGAGTATCTCGGAACTCACCATTCTTCATCGGTCCAAAAATCCTTTTCAGAACCATTGAGTTTTCGTTTATGGTAAGGATGTAAAATAGAGAGTTTCATAGAAGTCGATCCTGTTTTGTTTTCTTTAGTTGAAAATCATTTTGATCTTAAAACTTTTTAAGATTACGAACACTTTACACACAAAACTACAGTTTTCCTGATTTGAAAAATTCGAAAAAAATGTTCTATTCTTTTCGAAAATTGTAATTTCAAGTTTTTACCAATAAGCACAATTTGTGTCCAGCTTTGCGCTCAAATGAAAATGAAAATTTTTCCCTCAATGAATTCCATTAAATTTGAGGTTCGAATAAAATTTGGATTGAAAGTTTAAATTGAGCTTAAAGTGTCCAAAATGTTAGCCTTGTTTGGTGTAATTTTGAACAATTTTGTAAATCAATTGGAAAACGTCTATAAATTAAAACTGTTACAGCATTAAAACTCATTCCAATGCAAATCACTTATCATGCTTAATGGAAACATGGTGATAATAATAGCAGACAGTAATTCACTTTATTTTGTTCACATCAAAAAACAAACTAGAATCCAATAAAATGGTAAAATTAAAAAGAAGAAGAAGAAATGTAAAAATTTAAATATCATTCCAATTCTGAATAATGCAATAACTATACCAATAGAGAGACATTTAACCCACACAAAAAGGTACATAAGCTCATAAAGCGAAGCCGAAGAAAAACAAAAAATTTCAATTTTATCTCATTAATTCAATAAAAAAGCATTTCTTTTTCTTCTCAACATTAATTCTGATTTATTGAGATACGTTAAGTTGCCTGTTAATAGAGACAATATTAAGAATGAAAAAAAATGATCATTTCTCTCTTACTCATATTGATCAGATTCCAACTTGAACTGATACTTTTATCTGAAATGTAAATGATGGAAGACGCCAAATGATGGAATCATTATTGAAATGTTTAACACAAATGAAACATGAGATTGCCATTTTATGCAAATAATTTAATTGCTTTAACAGTCTTTTCAACTCATTTCCAAATATGATATTAATTTGACTTACATTGATATTATCTCAATTACTGAAAAGAAGAACAAGTTTTTTTTCGATTTCATTTGAAACTTTTCGAATTTCGAATTTTTTCTCCCTTTTTTCATCAAATCACTTCGACTTCAACTGTCATCAACTTTCATGTTTACTTGTTAAATCGTTTCTTTACTCGTTTCTTGTTTTACCGTTTATTAATAAACCCGGACATTGAATGGATTAAAAGCAATTTGATTAAATTCATTCAGATAATCATCTCAAGTAATAAATTATTCTGTTCAGTTGATAATTAATCTTTACATTTCCTTGTTGTAATTACAGAGTAAACATTTTCCACTTTTTTTTACCTTTCCAATAATTCACCTGAAAATGATTTACCCTTGAATAGTTTCAATAATGAGTTTCTCGGTGAAAAGTGATGAAGTTTTTGGGTCCATTTGAAATGGAGAAAAGACAAAAAGTTGAAGCAAAGTAAAAGCTTTTGTGGTTCCAAATGGGCCAATAATTCAATTTACATCGAGTTTGCCAAATTGTTTGCTTCTCAAATCAAACCGATAATTTGGTAAAGATTTTGGTTAAATCTCGAAAAGATGAAAAGGCGCAAAGTGACATTAGCAAATATTGCGATAAAATTGAATAAAAAAGAGAGGAAAAGTGAAGGGTTTGATTGCATATTGATATCAATAATAATGCAATAATAAATATTGCAAATAATCATCATTTTCACTTAACTTTTCATTGCTCGTAACATCATTTTATCCTTTTTTTTAGTGTAAAGAGTAAGGCAGAGAAGGGAAGGAAAAAAAGAGTAAAATTAGCATAATTTAGAGCAATGGCAACTAAGGCCAAACATTAATGTCACAAGTTGATGCCCATAGGACTGAATCATGAGCCTCTTAGAGCCTTCATCAGTCAGTTTAACACAACTGGTTTGGGTTGAGATTTGTTTTGTTATTTTGTGTCTTTTTTTCATCGAAGATGATCAAGACGGAAGACAGAAGAGAGGAAGTAGGAGTCAAAAGAGATGCTCTTACCTTCGGGCAATTTATGCTTCTCTCTGTAAAATATCACTGAAACTAGATTTTGCTTCCAACTTTGCATAAAAGATGAAAAGGCTTGAAAAACCGTCTTCTCTTCATTTTTCCTCTTCTTCTTCCCTCTTCATTATGCTCTTCATTTGGACCATTCAAATAACATAATTTACGGTTCACTTTACGCAATTATTATCTTTGTATCAACTTTATCATTGATTACTTTATGATGATAATAACATTACCTTACCATTGATATTGAGCTTTTGCTTTTCACTGTTCAATTTAAATGTTTTATTCACCACTTTATTGGCTGAAAGTGAACCAAAAAGTGTAACTCGATTACAATTTGTGCCATTTTTTGTTGTAGTTGATCAATTTGGTTTGTCTTTAATAATTAAATTGCTTCAATGTAACGACAAAAAGTGGTGCCAATTATCAGATTGAAAGGCTGATAAGTTGAATGCGAAAAGATTCATCTCTACTTTTGATGGTTGCAAATGATAAATTGAATGGTAACAAAAAAAAAATGAAAATTATCTTGATAATGGCAAGGACAGAGTCCATCTGTATAAACCTGGTAAACATGAAAAGTACGTCTAGTTTACCTGTGAATCTCAATTACACTTTCATAATCTTTTAACTTTCATTTGATTCCACGACACTCACCTTCCCATCCTTTTTCCTGCTCTCATAATCATCTTACCAGCCTCTTTATCATCATCTTTATCTTCCCTTTTCATCTGATTTTTCTCACTCTTGAAGGTTAACAGAAACAAGATTAGTGGAGAAAGCAGAATGAAAAAAAATAAAACATTAAAACAAGTTAGTTTGTCAGTTAAAACAAGGTGAAATTAAAAGCCAGAAAAGTCACCAAAAAAAGAAGCAAAAATTAGAGTTCAAAGTATCAACATTTACAAGTTTATCTGTACTTCTGACCATTCCATTAAGTGCCAATCTCAAGTGAAAAAGTCTTTACTTAACTTTAAATGTTTAACCAACATTTTCTTTTCTTTCCTTCAACTGAACATTTGGATTAACAGAGTCGGAGCCACTGTGAAAGATCACCATCATCATCATCACCATCATCACCATCAAAGTGTCGAAACAGTGGCTCAAGCAGCCATTGTCCAATCAAGGTAAGAAAAGCTTTTCCATCACTTTTGGAAGACTGAAGGAAAGTCAATCTTCTATTAATAAACAATCAATCAATCTCGATGAATCACAATCATTAGTGAATATGATTACAGTGTTATCTCAGCCCATTTCCTCGAGTTTTTTGTTCTCTTCAGTTTTTTACTTTTCTCTCGTCAAATCATTCTTCCATTCCGACTTTTCCTATCGCACCTTTTAATCAATGTTAGAGCCAATTGATGGTCATTAGGAAAACATTTTCACCATCAGATCGACATTCTGATTCTTGCAAATGTTCAAGTGTTCATCTTTTTTCAATCAATTTCCGGAGTCGTTGCAATTTCCGTGTTAAAGTCATTTATAATCTAAAAGGCATTTCGAGTTTTCTTGTTTTTTTTATGTTGGACAAAGTTAATCATGTTATCATGGATTTGGGTTATTTTGAGCAAAGAGCTTTGAGCAAAAACCTTTTGCGCTAAGACATTTAAGAGCAAAACTGATTAGAGCAAACACAATTTTAAACTCAGGTTTAGTTTTCGCGATAATCGAGATCAAATTTGAAACTTTCACCGGCTTTTGTTCAATTATGGAAGCAGATTTTTCATCAAACTCAATTAAATGATGTAAATTTCGATGAAAAATCAGAAAATGTACAGCAGATCACTTCAATTTTCAGTTAGATCGACTGCTTTCTGTGGCCGTAAAAGTTAGAGCTTAAACTTATCATTCGTCGATATAAATTGCTGGTACACACCAATGTTTAACACTTTTTTCAGTTTATCGACAGTTCTATTGATTTTGACCATTCATTAGATGTTATTATCGATTATTAAAATAATATGATATATTTTTTGTAGGATCTTGAATGATCTAAAAATTTAAGAATGATTTCTGAAAATTATCAACTATTTTTGAGCAAAATTTGCTCAAATCTTCTTAGCGCAAACGGATTTTGCTCAAATCTTTTTGCTCAATTTGACCAACACCGTTATCATGGCAAACAAATCGAGAGAAAAACATTGAAAAATCTTTTGAATCTTAAATGTTTCTTTTTTGAGGAAAAAAAGAAATGAAAAAATTAAAGTTTAATAGGCAAATCCAAATGTTGACTAATGGCCAATCCAAGGCAATAGTCCAATCCCTGAAACGCGTGCAACTCTGTTACTCCCAGTAGATTCGAGAATTTGATTATTCTCTGGACATCTTTATCTTTCCCGTTTGAACCATAAAAAATTGACAAAAGTAAAGAGAAAATTTGATCGAAAAAAAGTTGAACATTACTTTAAAGTCGAGACACTATTAATAGCCTTGTAACTAACCATTATACTTATTGGACTAAACCAACTACAATGGATCCAAGTTTATCTCATTACTTTAATCCACTATTTTTTACTCCAATTGATTTATTGAAGCGATTATAATCTTTCAATCGGACTTCAGTTGGGCTTCTTCAACCTTTATCGGTTAATTTGGAAATTTTTCAACTGAACTTGTTGATCAGATATGTTTATTGTAATTGAGGTTAAGAATATTTTATGTCTCTGATTGGTTCAGCTGATAATCAAGAGTCGAAATGGAATCGCCAAGATTGTCTTTGATGATGATCAGTTAAGGAATGATTAAAATGAATAAATAATAATCTTTTTTTTCGGGTCAATAAATGAGCAAATCACTTTGGTGTTGATTGAAAATTTTTGTCCATTTTTTTGTTTTCGCCGTTTTCATGAAGAGTTTCAGAAAAGTTCACATTCTGGAAACTTTTTGCTTTTTGTCAGATAAAAGTGTTTGATGAATAGCAAAGGAAATTTGTTTTTATTTTGTTGATCGTTTTCCAGAGACAAGGTCAGATAACAGTATTTGAGTTGAATAATCAGACATTTTGTCAAGATTTTTTGATTTAAAGTTCTGACTGTTATTAAATTGATTGCTTCAGATGATAGGAAATTATAAATTTTTAAATTTATCGCAAAATTGATAAACATGTTATTACAACATTGTAACTCTCGGGTCGAGCAACAATGTACAGTCTGTGTGGTTAAAGCTACATTTATCAGGATAAAATCAGCTTTGCTTTCCAAATCAACTTATCATCACTGAGATCATTACATTTTTTTCAAGTCTTATTAATGTGTTGTCCGATAAGTTGGAATAATAATGTAAAAATAATCCAATGATTTACCTTTTAGCCAGCAATTCATTTTACAGTTAAACATTTGATCATTTCGATAACTGACTCAGTGAAATAAATCAGACTCGAGTCAACACAATCAATTTAATATTTTACAGCAATATTGCGCTGAAAATTTAACATTCAATAGTCTGGGATACACACAGCTCTTGGACAGTCGATTTAGTGAGACTAGCATTAAAATGAGCAAAACTTTCAACAGTTAATCAATGGAAAAGTAGTCGATTAATTTTCAATAGTCAATGGACTGGCCTCTCAAATTAATAGGCTGTCAGGAGCAAAGCAAGACTCGATTTTTTAAGTTTGCAATTTTTAGTTTATCCCAAACTTGGTACGTACTTGGTATTATTAGATCGCACTAAATAGTCCTGTATCTTAGCTCAGGTGAATAGGGCTCGATTATGAAATTACAGGCCAAAGTCTTTATTTGTTGCAAAAAGTCGAAAAAATTGAAAAATTGACATTTCTAAGCTGAACAAACTTCTTCGTCAAATTTTTATGAACAACTCAATGAAAACTGATTAGAAACAAAATAAACCTTTTCCCTTGTCAAACAAGAGTAACTAACAGTGTTTTCATCCGCTTCAGGTCAAGTGTATAATTAAATAACGATTGCGAAGTGATATGCTAGTTATTACACGAAGGCAAAGCCTGAGTCCATTAATTATCATGCCATCTCATTATCCTGTTTTTTCAACATTTTGATCATTTTGATCAACATAAGTTTTTACCGGACATCATGACTTATCGAAAATTTCTTTCCACTGAATAGAATCAATTCAATCCCCATTTAAAGACTCAAATTCTTGAGGCAAACCATCGTCAATGAGAGAAACTAAAGCACAAACTAAATTTGATTTTTTACCCAACTTTTTACTCTTTTCTCAACCTTTTCAAACGGCAGTTTTCGCTCATCTAAATGACTCTTTGTAATAATCATATTTAACCATCGTTATAACATTGGAGTTAATTTTGATTCGAGTCAACTGTCACGATAATGCAAAATAAGCCAATCAATATCAGACATTGTTTAACCTTGTCAGAGTTATCAGTTGAAACATGTTTGAAAAACACAAACCATAATGAAACCATAGTCTGACTATCAGACAGACAGACTGAGCAAGAAAAAAGATTGAAATAATTTGCGATAAAAGTTCTTTTCTTATATTTCATCAGATAAATAATGATAAAAAATTAAGAAGATTTTGCGTTCTTTTCATCCCCTGTTCATCATCCTAATCTAACATAAATCATAGTGAACCCTTAAATGGTTAATCTTGTCTTAAGGCTAATAATGCTCAATCATTTATCATTGTTGCTTTAACCATTTTAAAAGTAAAGAGCAGCAGCAAGAGCAAAAAACGAACGAGTCAGATAATGATGAGATAGAAACGCACACACAAGCAACATTAACTGTAAATCTTTATTTTCATTTCAAGTCAATCATCAGATTATCATTTGAAATGAAAATATTGAACAAGTGGAGAAAAGAGAAGAAGAAAAAAAGGATTTATTTCTATTTATTATCATCAATGTTACCACATTGTTTATTTAAAGTTAATCTCAATTTCCATACAAGAAAAGTGTCTCATGTCGACACTTACCAGGTCAACCTCAAGACCATGGTACATCTCGAGTTAATCCCATTCAACTGATTCCAATGTTACAATGTTTCAATATTTTTCCATCAACTCGACAAGACAAATCAATTTACCCTTGAATGGCCATAAATTAGCTTTAAATGAAATTGTGATCATCATTTCCGAACATCATTTTCAGACTATTATCTCGACATAATTAACCTTTTCTCAACTCGATCCAACTTTAATCTTGAAATGAGAAACACTCAAATTTCAAGCGATTCAGTTATCGTTATAATCTTGTCTCTCTCAATAAGAATCTAAAGTTTCAATTTAAGCTGCAAAAACTTTTAATCAGATCAAATCAACAAATCTTTTCCATCTTCATTTCAATAGTTAATACCTTTTCTTGGTCACTTAATTTTGGCAACTTTATCAATCAGTAAACTTAACCGTTTCTCTGTTTCTTTGCTGGCAATTACACTTTATTAGTCCAGGTTAATACAAGTTAATCTCATTTCATTAAAAATCAAAATATTTTTCACTGAACCTAAAAATTCTGTCATCAGGTTTTTGAGCATAAAAAAGGATCAAAATTAGATCATTAAACAGGCTGAAAAAGAGATCAACTTTATTGGTTAATTTTTCCTATTTACATGAAAATTTTCTTCTCTTTTTCAGGCAAAAAAGTACATTAAAAGTTGATTTTACTTTAGTTGAGTAAAGATTTGATCATGAAATTTACTTTGAGTTCATTTAGTGTTTTACTTTTTCGCATGATTTTCATTAGTTTCAGTTTGGGTTGAATAGAAAAGTTGAAAAGGAGAAGATTGCATTTCCATGATTTTCATAAATCAGTTTTCAGTTTTGTGTGAAAAGACAAAATCTTTTTTTATTCATCAATATTATTCACACTTGTGGCAACTTTCATTGCTTATGTAACCCAATGATCAATCATTTATGCACAATACTCTGATGATTAGCATATCAATAACATTTTACTTCACAAATGCATTTCTGTCAGATGTGATAACATCTTCGACAAAAAAACATGTTCATCTTTTGTCAAATTATCACATTTTGAGCTTTCGAACAAAACTCAAAAATCGAAAAAATTCAGTTCTAAATTGTTTCCTCATTGAATGGACAAATTTCAAGTCTAATTTTGAGTTTGACTTCAGCACCAAAAGTGGTGAAGAAATTGATTCTGAAAATTCATTCGATCTTTATCTGATTA